TTATTTTTTGTCTTTTTAGTAGGATTTTTGTTAGTGTACATATATTTAGGGTATTATTTATTTTGTCATTTTGTGTGTAATTGTTATAAGTAGTTCATATATTGGTAGTTAGCCTAATATTTTGTATGTAACATATTTATCTTGTACCTTCAGGGCCGGTCCAGTCGGTGGACGATCCGGGCGACTCAAGAATGTTCTTCTCTTCTTTGATAGATCATGACCGATTCTCAAGAATGTTCCTCCAACACAAAACCAAACGACAAAATCTATGGCATTACGATCATCAAATCATATTTAATTCTTATTCTCGATTTAGATCATCTGAATTATGATGCATGGTAAGGGTTATTCAGAAATCACTGTACTGGATATAACGTTTTCAATCACTTTGAAATTGTTCACACGATCATTACTAATCCCAATTGAGAAACCGTTGATAATATCATCAGATAGTGGCTTTACAGAACGTTATCCCAACAAGTTTTTCAATCCATATCAAAACGGACGTTACATCATTGGACCTCTATCCATTTTTTTTCATGAAAGCAAGTAGTCAAAAGCCATTGGACTTGATGACAAATTAAGAAATATTGTCATTGGTGAGTCAATCATTATGGAGTATTGCACTAGAATGAAGTCTATTTCGGATCTTCTTGCCAACATTCGAGCCCCGGTTACCGTAAGAAATCTAGTCATTTATGCCATCAATGGCTTGTCTAAAAAAATATATGGTCATCATGACCACAATCCTTTAGGGTTTTATTAAAAACAGTCTAATATACATAGCAACACCCAACTATTAAAAGATAACACTAAGCGATTATATATAATTTATCCGACTAGCGTATCAAGAGATGTGCGGTTGCTTTCAAAATGGATTGCATATATATGAGGTTTATAAGGGGTATTTGTTTGTTTTTGTTTTTTTTGTTTTTGTTTTTGTTTTTTTGTTTTTGTTTTTGTTTTTGTTTTGTTTTTTTTTTTTTTAAAAAAAACATATGATATCATGTTATTGCATGTATCTAACAATCTATGATATACTTTTTCCTTAAAATCACATTTTAGCATTTTCATTTAAAATCACATTTTTAGAATTTTATTTCATAAAATCTAAATTTTATAGATATGACGCAATCAAAATTTAAAATTAAAAACTAGTATTATGTTTTACCATTTGAAAGTTTTAGAACATTTATAAACCATTTAATAAAACTTCTTTTTACATAATAAGGTTTAGAGTTTGATAAGTTTATAAAATCTCAATTTTAAACTTATATAAGTTTAATCACGAAATTTTTTGTTTGCTACCATTAGTTAGTTTTAAACGATGAAGCTTGTTTTATTTTTAAAACTATTTTACCTTCGTATCTTAAAAGGTAAATTTTATTAAAAACAAACTCCTTATGTCATTTATTTATGTTCAAAATATTTTTTGCATGTAAAAACTAATTTTAACAATTAAAACAAAATATAAACATAAATTTGAACAATACAAACATGCAAAACATATGTGCATAGTCTAATGAAATTTATGTGAGTAACCACAAAAAATGTCAAGTTCATCCTAAGGAACATAAAGGGCCCAAAAATCTTCAATTTGTTGTATTATGTTATCCCACTTGTTATACAACACCATGCTCTAAACTATATAATTTTATAGAAGTTATGAAAACCTTATAAAAGTATGGGGTGAGCATTTCATCCTCCAAAATGGTTTTCATCTTCATCTTGTTATATTTTTATAAAAATAAATTACTTCTAAAACTAATCTATTATGTACAAAAATAAAAAAAATAAAAAGTATATATTTATGTATTACATACCGTATGAATAAATAATTATTACAACAAGTTTAAACAAATCAACACTTGCAACCATAAAAGAGGTGTGTGTATATATATATATATATATATATATATATATATATATATATATATATATACACACACACACAAAAATTATATAAAACAACATTTTGTTTCTCTAAGACAAATTTTATGACTAAAAGGATGCATGTAAACTTCTAATTATAAATATAAGATTTATAAACATTTTAAAGTTCTCATGGGAAAAATGTGTGGATTTTTTAAAAAAAAGGAAACCATCCATGTATTGTAAAAACAAAGATCTTACCAACTTTGACCCACCATGGATCTTAAACTAATTTTTGGATTTTTATTTAAAAGTAGTCTAATTATAGTGATAAAATTGATGTAATTAACAACCTAGACATTTACTATTCGAATAATTGAAACAATTTTGACAAACCATGGATAATTTTGCAAAGCATAGAAAGATTCAAAACAGCCATAAAAAAGGAAAAGATTACAACCTTTAGAGTCTTCGGTTCTTTTTCGCAATTAGAATGTTGACAAAGATGTCAAAAAGCTCAAAAGAAGAAGCTCTCTAGAGATATCCACTAATAATTTGCTAACTTGATAAATACCCTAGTCTTTTTCTTGTAGTAAAAGAATCTTTTATGCCTTTAAAACAAAGAACAAGTTTATATTAAAGGAGAGAATTTAAAGTATCATCCTTTTCTTAGAGTTTTTGACCATAATGGGGTTCTTGAAAAAAGTATTTACCATTTTAGTGTTTCTTGAAAAGTATTTACCATTTTAGTGTTTTTCTTATTTTTTTTTACTTTTTAGATTCATTTTCAGTTTTTTTGTTATTTTAAATATCTTATTTTTCTTTTTTTCTTTTTTATTCCACATATATATATATATATATATATATATATATATATATATATTATATATATATATATATATATAAATGACAGCTTTCATTTTAGTTTTTTTTACCCTTTTTTCCTGTTTTTTTTTTTAATATTCATTTTTCTTATACAACATTTTTACCAACAAGTTTTAGCCTCAAACATTAAAAAATCATCAAAAAACACTTCTATAATCAAATTTTAATACGCAAAAATTCCAACATTCACATACAATATTTTTAAAATGAAAAAAAAAACATCTCAACATTGTTTCTTACAAAAAGAACACCACAAAAAGAAAAAAAAACCTCCAACATTGTTTCTTACAAAAAGAACACCACAAAAAGAAAAAAAAACTCCAACGTTGTTTATTACAAAAAGAAAACCATCACAATTAGCTTGACCTTGAACCGGTAAAAAATCATTACCTGTAAAAAAAAAGAAAAAAAAATAAGAGAATAACCACAACAAATACCATAAAAATTATATATATATATATATATATATATATATATATATATATATATATATATATATATATATATATATATATATATATAAAATTACCTTGGCATAGACGGATATCGTTTTCGATTATGTCCCGGTTGCCTACAAATTCCACAAAGATTGGCATTTCTTCCTTCTTTAATATCCATGCCATTTTTTAGTCTTGTTGAACGAGGACGACCTTTTTTATTTCGTAATAGTTCTAAATTTGGAAGTAATTCATTAAATGGTGATTGTGGCCAATACGCTTCATGAGGAAGAGGGGAGAACTCAGATGCCCAAGTAGCATAATAATATTCAATCGAGTAACATCTATCAACATATTGCCAACTATTCAAAGAGAGTTTGGCACATGCACTCAAGACATGAGAACAAGGATATTTAAATGCCTCCCATTTACCACATGTGCAAGTTTTTTGTTCTAAATTAACTACTTGCACATTTCGACCTCTTTGAGTTATCAACTCAAATATACATTTTTCTCGGTTAAAAGATCTTAAGGAATGTGCACTTGCTTTTACCATCAAAGCTACTTGTTTTACAACAACATGTGGAGTATGTGTATCTCCATGAGCTTGAGAACTAGATCCTAAAGGACGTCTCACCTCAAAATAATGCACCATTCTATAGAATGTAAGTTGCACACAAGCTGTGATTGGTAAGAAACGAGCACCTTTAAGTACACTGTTGAAAATCTCTGACAAATTTGTTGTGAGCAACCCATATCTCCTTCCACCATCATGTGCAAGTGTCCATCTATTAAGTGGATGACTCTCCAACCATTGTTGAGCACGTGGATTTAATTTCCCAATTTCTTCCATGATGGAGTTGAACTTTCGAATTTGATTCTGACTCCCGGCACGGTAAGCTAAAGCTTTCAATTCTGAATTATGAAACTTGTCATAAAAGTTGTTGATGAAATGTCGTAAACAATACCTTTAAAATTAAAAATAATAATAATAATAATGTAAGTTAATGAATCAAGTTATTGAAATGTCCTAAAAGAATAGTTAAGAAATATAACAATACCTATGAAAACCACGTGGCTCTAACCATGGAGATCCATGCTCATTGACAGCCTTAAGAATTCCACCATGACGATCAGATATTAGGCATATGCCTTCACGGTCTTTCACCACATGATTCTTGACATGAGAAAGGAACCAATCCCAAGTATCATAAGATTCATTTTCTACAATAGCAAATGAAAGTGGCAAAATTTGATTATTGCCATCAACTCCCATTGCAATTAGCATCTTACCCTTGTATTTACCATACAAGTGTGTGCCATCAATACTAATCACCGGTCGAAAATAGTGAAACCCTTTGATAGAGGGAGCAAAAGCCCAAAAAACACGCCTAAATTCAACTTCATCCACATCGTTCGATCTTGAAACACACCATTCAACTATAGTTCCTGGATTGAACTTTTGAAGTGCACCTAGATATTTTGGTAAAGCGACATAAGACTCTTCCCAGTTTCCAAACACATGTTCAATTGCTTTTTGCTTTCCAACCCAAACCTTCTTATATGAAGGAGTATAGCCTAATTTTTCAACTATTTCAGCTCTCAAAAGCCGGAATACTGATAGAAGGTTGCTCTTTTATAAGGTGTCTAGTTTCCATAGCAATCAAGCTTGCATCTAGGTTCGGATGGTCTTGAGAAATCTTATAGTGTAAACAAGTGTGCGGACCGGTATACGTTGTGATTTCAAAATAACCACTACGTTTATGTTTACTTGCATGAAGCTTCCATTTGCATCCTGATTGTAAGTACAACTTGCATCTTAGAGTCCAAATAGTTGGGCGTGACTCAATGACCTTAAATTGTCTATGTGTCCTAATGCTAGGATCTTGATTGCTCTAACAAGTTCCTCTTTATCCTTGAAAGAATCTTTTCCCAACTCTCAAGTAAAATCATTCTTACTTGTTGATTGTGTCATAATCCAATTTTCATCAATAGTCAAATTTGTTCCTTCCATATTAGTAAAAGTTGAGGGTAATTCAACATTATTGTAAATAGATGTTTCATCATCATCTTCATCTCTAATTCCATCCTCCAATATTTCATTTAACTCAACATCATTGTCTATATTCATCAAATTAGTCACAACAGCAGCTTGAGAAATTATAGAAAAATTATCATTGTCGATCATATCTATAATAGAATTCATCTACAAACAAACAAAAACAAGCAAAAATTGATCAAAAAATGATCATATGAATTTGTGATAACAAAAAAAAAGAAACATAATGCAATCAATTACATGAAAGATTAAAAAAAACAAGCTGTGAAGATGGGGAGGCAAAATCAAGACATAAATTGATCAAAACAATAATCAATTCCATTTACAAAAGCAAATAATCAAAATAGAAATTGATCAACAATTCTTCCTAACTAGAAGCAAAATTGAGATAAATAAGAATAGAGAAGCAAAAAAGCAAACATAAACTTAACAATTGGAATCCAAAAGCAAACAGAAAACTAAAGAATCGGAATCAAAATCGACAACTTCACATACCTTGCAGCCGCCGGCGACGATGGAGGAGGCGCAGCCAGCCGCCGACAGATGGAGGAGATGCAGCGGCGGAGATTGTGGACGACGATGACACAATGAAGCAGCGAGCCGAGCCCTAGTTTTTTTTTTTTTTTCCTTCGTTCCAGCGTTCCAAGCTTCAGGGAAAAACAAAACCGTGTTTTTCTTTTTCTTTTTTAAACAATAATATTAGTATTAAAGTTAAATAATCCCATTTTGGTAAATACTTATGAGATAACACTAATATGGGAAATACTTTTTGTGATAGCACTATTATGGTTAATAACTCCCTTTTCTTACTTATCTTAAACCTTTAAGAATAACTTGAGAGAAAGAGGGACAGAGTAGGGGAATTCAGATTTCACTAGTAAAAAAAGGAAGATAAAAAAAAACTAGTTTAAATGCTCTTAACTTTTCCTTATCCCATGGGTCTTAACCTTTAACACCTATGCTTCATCAAATCAACTAGCCATGCTTTCTAAGAACATGGTGTGTTGAATAAATTAATCAAAAGCACTCCATACTTGTTTGTCGTCCATGCATTCAATTTTGGTATAAAAGAAGGAAGGATTTTTATAAAAATTCTTTCATCCTTTTATAACTTATAAACCTTTGTCCATTTTGTTAAAAGATGTACATGACATAATAAATCATACCTTATGATATATTATGATATGTTATGACATGTCATTGAAATAGTATTTCCATGAAATAAATAATTCTCAATTAATTACAAGATATATAGTTATTTATCAAGAATCAAATTCTTATAAATAATATATTTGAATTAAGTTGTTAGTGTGACCTTTTAGGATCATATATTATCTAGCAATATCATTCTATAATGACTCTTAGATATAATGATCTTTACAGACTATTATCTTAGTGAAGAAAGTTATTGTAGTAATCTTATTTCTGACAATGAATATTAGCCAATGAATGATGATGATGAAGCTTACTAATTTAGTAAGAATATTATAAGCATAAAACTGGGCACATGAAAATATGGTTGATTTTAGAAGAACTTTGAAGCAATATGCAACCAAAAATGAGTTTGACTACTTCCTAAAGAAAAATGGTCTAGCAAGATTCACAACAAGGTGTGAGATTGCGAGGGGAGAAGTTTTGTGTCTATCATGCAAGATGGGATTACCTTTGAAGTAAGTACATACCTAAGTTATATTTAACATGCTCTCCATTAAAAATATATTTTTATTTATTTAATTATTTTGTAGGCTAGAAAAATTAAAGAATGACATAATGGTACACGAAGTAACAAGGGTGGTTATAAGTATTTCACTCAAGAAAGGATTGTAATTATAGTTACTAACAAGCTAAAATGTGATGGTGGTGTCTCTTTTGGAGAGCTTGGAGTGTGGATTATGGAAACTTACAATGTTAACATAACATATCTATAATTCTTAAAGAGGTGAGCAAGTGTATATTGAGATGTATGATGAGTAGGAAGACTCTTTCATGAAGATGGGTGTATTTAGAGAAGTTGTTAATAGGAACAAATGAAGCTTTGTTAATAGTGAATTTCATATAATTAGTGGCAAGAAAAATTTCAAAAGGTTTTTTTATTTATCTAGGAGCATGTTTGAGAAGGTTTCTTATTGGTTATCATCCTTACATTTATCTTGATGCTCGTCATTTAAAAGGAAACTTTACTGGTGTACTTATTGGAAGGAGTACCCAAGGTCATCGATTATAGGTAGTATTTCTAATAATACCAGGTTCTTTTTGGGTTACCCTCAATACCCGTTTTAGAAATTGAAAGACAAAAAGAATATATGAGAAATTAGTTTATTAATTTTCCATGTTTTGATAAATCAATTGGAAACTATTTTGAAATTAAATTGTAATTAATTAATGGTTAAATAACTAATTAATTAAAGGGGTCGTATTTTAATTAAATAAAAGTTTTTTAATTGGAACATTTTGAAATCTCTAAGAGATTAAGTATAGGGAATGAAATTGTGGATAATGATTATCCAAGGTTTTTGAGTTGATTAAGGATTAAGCTCTTATGAGCCTATAAAGAAGAAGTTAGGGACCAATGTTGAAGTGTTTAATCGAGTTCAAACAACAAATCAGGGTTAACAAATGTAATATGAACACACGATATAAATAAGATCTGGATTCAGCTCATATTACTTTCAAGAACACAATTACAAAACTTGATAGTAAATCTGTTAAGACTCTCTACTACCAACTCTATGTTCTACTCCTATTTATAGGAGACTGAAAGTACAAAAATACTAAGGCTAAACACTTAAGCTTCGAAACTAGAATGCCTTAGCAAATACATAAACATATGCATCATCCTTCGTCTTTCAGAATACCATGTCACAATCTTCTTCAAATCCATTTTATCACCTTGATTATTTTTCAAACAGTTATTCATATGAACAATGAAGTTTGTATATTGAGAAGTAGTATATCTTTCCACTTTGCATGCTTGAAATAGAAATCTCTTAGCTTTTCCATTCTTGTCTTTCCCAAAAAAACCAAACCAAACGGTTTTAAGCAAATTTCCCCATCAACATATTTCCTCAGTTCTGCTTCGGTCTTCGTGGCTTCCATTGCAACATTTACTTCTTTTCCCAAAGTTGATGCTAATTCCACATCGATCAAGGCTAGACAATCATAGTAATTGTGACAACCCGAAATTTCCATTCGTACAACCCGGAATTTCCATTCGTACAAACCCTACAGTCAAGCACTTCAAATAAAAGTCAAACACATTTCTTCTAAATTTTAGCTGGTTTAAAGTCAGTTTGGGTGTTTTTAATATTAATTCTTCAAACGAACGAATAAAAGGAATTATATTCTAGGATACTGGGGTAACAATAAATCAATCAATACCTTAATTAGGTGTTCACGGCCAAACATATGGAGTTTTGAGACGTGAACTCCTCTTGGCCGTGAACTCATGCATATAGCATGAGTTTACTCTTCATTTCCCCCATTTTCACTTCCAAGCTCAAGATCATCAACTTCTCTCTCAAGTATCATAACACCTTTCTTCCAATCTTCCAAAAATGTAAGTTTTTATTCATTTGATTTGTAGTTATAACCCTTCATCTAGTTGTTGTACACCATTTCATCCATGAAATCTTATCTTTTACCTAGATCTTTAAGTGTTCTTCAAAACACCAAGAACACACACTAGTGTTCTTGGACCTTAAACACCCAAACAAGCTTCTATATTATAAGTACTCTTGTCCTAGCTTGTTGTATACTAGAATTAACTTGTTTACACCTTAGAGACATCAACAAATCTGGAATGGAAGGGAGTTTACGGCCAGGACACCTCCCAAGACCGTAAACTCTATAGAAAGGTGCAAACTTGCCCTAAACTCCTTCCTAATGCTTAGAAATTGGACTAGAACCATTAACCATTGAGATAATGACCTTAAAATACTAGTTTGTGGAGTTTGCTATGGGTTTACGGCCGTAAACTCACTAGGGCCATGAACCCCAGACCGTAAACTCCATGGGGTTTGGTCCTTGGGCCGTAAACATAAATGCAATACCCTACACCCCTTTGATGCAACCCAATGGCCTTCTAGCACTTAAACCAAAGTGTTTTCCACGCTTTAGGGTGTTTGTACTTACTTAATTAGTGTTATAATCACTAATTAATGAATACATATGTCTTTATATGTTAATAGGATCATTGTGTGTTCAAGTCTTCACTTAACACTTAGCACCTTGTCCAACACTTCCATCCAAACCACTCACTACAGGTGAGTTCATACCCCTTAACCAACCTTTTAAATGATTTTAAATGCTTTTATAGGGGGGAATACAAGTTGAATATCATATTTGTGATATCAATCACATGTGATTAATAACTATCAAGCATATGGATTAACTATACTTTCAAACAGTTTTTCTAAACAAATGACTTAAAACTGCTTATCAAACTATTTTACATGTTAAACTTCTTATCAAACTCACTTTTATGTATCAAACCTTTTCTATTACAACTTTTAAACTTATATATTGTTAAAACCGTGTCTATTACATATATAGTTATATAAGTAAGGATTGAAGGACTTAGGACTTCCAACTCACTTTATTTCATGTTCCTTGTTTGGTTGTGGACATAGAGTACCCTGTTGGTTGTCCGAGTGTCGTTGGATCCTTAGTTATATTTTATGTATATATGTATAGATATGAAGACTTTTATCTCAATTCAATACATTCAGTCATACAAATGATTCTACTAGTAACTATAATAGGTATAGTAAGGGATATACTAATACTAATTCAATGAAGCATACAAAGAGTCAGTTCATTCATGAGTCAATACTTACTATTTTGAGAATCTATATAACGATACTATTATGAGAAACTATACAACGATACTATTATGAGCAACTATACAACGATACTATTATGAGAAACTATACAACGATACTATGATGAGAAACAATACATTCACTACATTAGTACATACAATACATATACAAGTATACTATAACATAAATGTGATCCACTATTTCGTGGCATGCCTTCACTGTCGTGGCCCGATTTGTAACCAAAATCTCCTGGAGGGAGAGCGTGAGTTTCCATATAGATCTATATTGGATTGACTATCCTACACCTTGCTGCTAGCTATAGTGGGACATAGAGGTCTTCAGGTGCCAAATGTCATTACTTTCGACGTCTTACATCGTCGTGTTCATAGTCGATAGCGTGTTACAAATAATCACATTATACCTTAATATAAATCCGGTTTACGGTAGTTAGTACAACAGTAGTAGTTAGTACAACAGTAGTTACTATAATACAACATTATAGTACTACATTAATTTACCCTTTACATTTATTTTGTGTTCACTTCACTTAAACAATAATGTACAAACTATATTTTGATAATGATAGTTATCTTGGAAAATTATACACGTTTACAAGTAACAGACATACATAACAGTCGTGCTTTGGTAGAAGGCTACTTTTATTAGAAAATATAGAATTTTCTAGGAGTTACAAACATTTACCAACCTTTACAAACATTTACAAACATTCACATACTTTTACTACAAATGTTTACAAACTCGTACTTCAAACACTGTTTCAAACATTTTGATACAAAAAATGACACTAGAATACTTTTGAACACACCAGCTCTAAAGCTAACAAACTCTTTCAAAATAACTTGTATTCTCAGGTCATCAATAGACAGGTACCGATGTCAGCTTTTGAGAAGATGGAGCGTATTCAAGACTCATCTTATATTTTGATTTACATTTTTGGTGTCTTATAAACTATACATAACACACTTGTATTAAATTATATTATTAATGCAATGGATGACGTTGTTTGCTTGTTTACTATTATCTGTGTTGTGATACTGTAAATGACGTCCTCCACCCATGAACGTTTCCACCGTTTCGGTTTTGGGGTGTGAGAGATTGGTATCAAAGCATTGTTTATAGTGAATTGAGTATATCAACCCATAAAAGATATACAAACTATAAACACAATGGGATTAAAATACTCTGACCAAGAGTTTATACTTTTAAATAGTAAAATATTTAACTAAGTATACATACCATCATTCATACTAAAATCAGTGCACTAGGATAGAACAAAAGTATTATGATTG